AACCTACTCCTGTGATAATGCCATTACGAAGGCAGAACCCTTGTGACCTCACTGTCTCTTAAAGGTCCTATCTCTCCATATGGTTCCATTGTGTTTTCAGTACATGAACTTTGGGTGACAGTCAAACCATAGCAGTTAACACTGGTACTGAGAAACCCCTCTAAAATCCTAACCCAGTATTCTCCATTAACCCCTATGAAATGAATACAAAAAATAAAAGCCTGATTGCACAGTACTAGAACTGAACTGCAATGCTGGAAGCCACATGGCAGACCACAGTTTGGATCCCTAGGTCAGCTGAAAACATGCTGGTGCTAATGCATGCCTGTGTACGTAAGTTCCGGAAGAGCAAGATCATGGTGTGCCAAGACCCTATCAAAGGTCTCTTTCTCTCTCTTCCTCTTTTTCTCTCATGTACACACATGTTATCTATCACAAATAAAATAAATACTGTTAATAATTGTTATTTATCATGAATAAAATAAATACAGTTAAATTTTTTTCTAAAGAATTGTTTAGAAGCACTGGGGAGCCATAATTTGCTGGCATTCACTAACAGGTCAAAAGGAGATTGGTTGAAACTTACAACCACACATCTAGACTCATTTGTAATTTCAACTGGGTCATTCTCAAGGAGGTCCCCACTCCATTTATTCAGCTGTGTCCTGGTAGACAGAAAAAAATTTGAATTCAACTCTTTGTGGTCCATCTAGGGCAGCACAATCCAACAGACCTTTCTGCAATGGTGAGAAGGTCTTGTCTGTGCTGGCCAATATGGTAGCCATGGGCATATGTGCACCATAGCTACTGAGCACTTGAGCATGAATCTGGAATCTTCCCACGTGATCTTAGCATCATGGAGCATTATGTTCCTGCTGTGTCACTGCGGCTGGCCCTGAATGTTTATTTTATATAATCTTAACTAAATTGAAATTGGACAGCACAGATAAGGAGGAGTCACTGCAACTCAGGGTGATTCTGTGGGCCGAGCATCTTTGTAGCCTTTGTGTCCTTGACCAAGATGGGCTCTTGGCACTTGGTGTTTTGTCTGTTTGCAGACCTCATGGAGCTAGTATTGTGCCCCGGGCAATGCTCTGCACGTTACACAGCAGTTATGTCACACTCTGGCAGTCCCTGGATAAATGGCCTTTGTCTCTTGTCTCTTGCAAGTCGGTGGCCTGGTGGGAGCTGTTTTCCGTGACTCCGTGAAGTAGCGGAGTAACAGAGCCCAGGAGAAGCTGAGTCATGGACTCATCTAGAATATAAACATATCTAGGATGGGAGCAAAGATCTAGAACCATAATGCCCAAAACCCTGCCAGCAGCCCTAAGTATGAGGCCCAAAAAGGGCTCACTGGCAAATCCAAATTCTATTGTTGATTTCTGAATTTTGCTTCTGCACTAGAAAGTCAATTTGCACGAAAGGTGGTCATCCAGGCAGAAGTCTTGGGTTTTTTCTTTTTCTTTTTCTTTTTTTTTTTTAACTTTAGTGACAAGAGATAATTACTGTGAGATTGATCAGGCATCCAGAGTACTGGAGCAAATAAATTGTGCAGTGGCCAGTGCGGGAGGGGCCCAGCTGCTAATGGAAGTGGTGGCTAGGTTGTCCCTCTGTAATGTGTCTTGATGGAGCATCCGCATGGGTCTGCCGTAATGTGCTATTGATATGCAGCCAGCCACTTTCCCCCGTGTGGCTGGGGCGGTGAGCCGTTGGAGCAGAGCTGGGCTGCACAGCAGTAAATGAAGAGGAAAATTGAAGTAATGTTGTATTATAAATTTATGATTTCATCTGCCTGACCTAGAGGATGTTCGGCGATGGGGGGTAGAGATAAGATCCCCTGCTCTGGCAGATGCCGAATTCTCATTGTTTAGGAGAAAACAATATTGATGTGACCAAGAAGAGTGGGGTGAGGTCCAAAGTTGGGGTGAACTTGACCATGCTTTTCTTCCTTCTTGCTGAAGACTTTGGGATTTGCCAGGAAGAAAGCAGATAGGATTGCATCATGCTGGTGTCCTGAGTGCAGGGAGGGACTGCCTGTTCCACCATCTCCCACCCACTCAGAGAAGGTGACACATGGGCTTATGCCATTGCTGTGGGATTAACACTAAAATTTTTAAGATCCCCTAGTCTGAAGTGAGAAGCAAAGGAGCTATTTTTCGTCAGGAAAGCCCTTAGGCAGCCGTGATTCGGCTGTTTGCATATAATCCGTTGATCAATATTGTTGAAATAATGGCATAAGAAATCCAGTGCAGAAAGATCTGATTTGATAGCAGGTGATTAATTTGGAGGAGAACTGAGCTGCCCAGCAGAGCCAGCGTGCATGTGCCCATTGAAGTCATCCACGTCCTGGCCTCTGCCCTTCCTCCCCTTCCTTCCCCATCAGGTACCTGAGTTCTGCATCTCATTGGGTTCTCACCCCTCAGGGTCATTCTGTTGGGCCTGGGCAGCCTTCTTCCAATGAGGCACCAAGCACACAGGAAAGGAGCAGGTGACAAAACCCTGCTGAGGTAGGGACAGTTCTGCTAGGCGGTGAGCTCACTGTGGCTGCACATCTAAAGAGGCTCTAGCTGAAGTGAGGGAAAGGAGCCACAGGTGGTCTCAGTTGGAATTTGGGCACCTTGGTGCTGCAGGAGACCTGCAAGACTTTCTAGAGCTGGCAAGCAAAGACCCTGCCTGTCTTAGGTCGGGCTGCCGTACCAGTAGACTGGGTGGCTCATCAACAACAAGGATTTATTTCTCACAATCTGGAGACAGAAATCCAAGATCAGTGTGCTGATAGATTCCATGTCTGGTGAGTGCCCTTGTCCTCATACATGGCGCCTTCTGCTATGTCCTCACAAGGTGGAAGGGGCAAGCGTCTATGGGGTCTCTTAGAGGGGTACTAGGCCCATTTCTCTCGTGGGTCTCTCATGACTTAATCATGCCCAGAAGCCCACCTCTTAATACTATCACCTTGGAGGTTAGGTTTCAATATACGATTAAGGGAAGGACACAAACACTCAGACCATTGCAACCCACAGGATGTGGCTTTGGGCCAGAAACAGGACTGGAACCTGAGTCTTCCCATTTCCAGGCCAGCAAGCTTTTCTGTGGGTCTGATACCAGATCCTCTGATCACAGGCAGGAGCCATAGCTCCCAGTAGGAAAGTGAGGAATAATGGGTCCCTCTGGACCTCTGAGGCACAAAAGCTCTGAAAAGGGCAGCAGAAAGACCAGCAACCTCTGACTCAGGGTGCCAGAGTGCAGACCAGCTGGGACTCAGTAAATGACTTTTCGTCCAACCTTTATTTTCAGGCTCAGAAAGTGGGATGTGCAATGATGAAACCCCCCCAACCCTACTTCCCCCTCCCCCCAAGCTTTAGGGATGGTTTTAAGGGGTTATATAGAAATACAGAGACACATGGATGTGGTCCCTGTTGCCTTCACAACTTTCCTGGAAAACCTGGAGACTGTCACGTGCACCCATCAAAGTACCTTTCTGCCACCATTTTGGTGGCAAGCAGCAGAAACAACTCGAGCTTCAAAAGAACAGCAAATGAGGTTACCGGAAGGAGCTGGGCAATGCACAGAGTTGACAGGAAGGCTGGAACTCAGGGACTGGGGGTGCTGAATACTCAGAGCCCAGCCCCAGCCAAGACAGCCACCCAGGATCAGAGCACTACTGTTGCTTTCACTGGAGGCCAGGTGCTGCTAGTGATGCTAGAATAAGTCCTGATCCATTCTCTCTCCCTTTGCCCCACTGGCTCCAGAGGCTTCCATTGGCCGAGCGCAGGTTCACTGCCTGCTTCCCAGCTGCCAGGCACTTAAAGTGCTGTCGGGAGCCTCTTCAACGTCCAGGATGAGAAACAGACCTCTCTCCAAGACTCATGCCTGGAGAGGAGTTCAGGTGCTAGGCAGCCAGAAAACAACTACAGATAAAGTCAAAGCGGGAGTTGTGGTGGTGGTGGTGGTGGTAGCGTGGTCTCATGGTATTTTAAGAGCTTGAACATATTAATTCCCCATACACTGAGTGGAGGGAGGCAAAGAGAGCCCTTTGGGACAGGAACGGGACGTAGCCCTAGGTGTCTCATAGGCAGGGAAGTTTCAGTCGAAGACTCTACACTGGCCTTCGCTGTAGCCTGAATCAAGAGCAGGAGTGTGAAGGCGAAGAGGTCTGAGTGGGCACAGTGACACATTGAGAGCTGAAGTGACTTCTCAGCAGGGTTTAGTAACAGATTGGAGAAGATCACACCAGCACCAGGACTTGCCAACACACCCAGCCCAGCAGCAGTTTCCACAGCACCCCTCAGCCCAAGGTCCTCTACAGAGATGGCTCTGGACACAATATACTTCCCGTGAGGTGCCCAGCAGAGCCCGTGGCTTGAGGCTTCTGAGTTTGGGCCATACCTTGTTCACATTTTAGCACTGCCAGTTCCTCACCATTCCTTGAGGGTCTTCCAAAGACTGGCACTTCTGTGGAGTGTCCATACTGGGACATGGTCCCAGGGCTATAGCTTCTCAGGCCCGGCATTTTCCAAAGGTTCACTCCAGGTGAGCCTTGAGTTTGGCCACTAAACTGGGACCCCCAAGACCCACATTCTGTCTGGTGTCGACCCTGGTGTCCACTACCTTGGGAGGAGACATTACAAGGACTGTAATCTCCTCCTGTCAATAGCTTTAAGGTAAAGTACATCCAGCGTAAGCTCTCCAAATGTCAGAGCCAGGCGTGTGCCCTGGGTCTGGTGCTAACGTGTGGCATTTACTCTGCAGGCTCCGGAAAGTGCATGGGCTTTGGGGGGTCTGGCTGCCCAAATACGGGTTAATTACCAGCAAGCTGACAGCAGCACCCCTGACTGTGGAAGAGAGGTGACCCAGGCCCTCAGTAAAGACCCTCCTGGGAGACGGATCATTTTGAAAATGACATCACTCCAGCTGTGTTCCTCACTGCCACCCTCCCTGGATTGCACCAGGTGGCGGGGGCGGCTGTGCTAATGGACTCTGTCTTTCTCTCTGTGTTCAAGGCTACCCCAACTTCGTGGCAACCTACGGCCGCGGCTACCCTGGATTTGCTCCTAGCTATGGCTATCAGTTTCCAGGTGAGTGGCTTGGTCTCCCAGAACTTTGGAAATGTGGGAGATGGGCGGCACTTGTGGGGAGGCGGGTAAACCCCAAGAGAATGCAGCGCATTCAGACCTCCGTGTACAGAGTGACCTACACATGCTAAATGTCAAGTCTGCTCAAGGCCGAGGTCAGGATGCAGCGCAGAGTCTCTAAAGCCTGGAGTCTTTCGTTGGTGTTGGGTGTTTGAGAGCAGCAGCTTTTGAAGGACAGGACAAAAACCTGAGGCAAGAGGCTTCACCTCCTTTTCCTGAAGGCTGTTCTGGTGTTTTTTTCTGCCTGGGGACAGAATTCTAGGCCCAGAGATTTCTTTCACCCTCTGCCACCCCATGTGTGCCTCCCCCTCCCTGAGTCTGCATGACTGATATCTGCGTCTCCCCCGTCCCTGCACCCAGCCTTCTCCCCTCCTCCGACTGCTGCTGCCCTGGTGTGCTTGCGTTGGCTGCAGGGATTGGGGTTTGCCTAGGTCCTGGGTGGGGCTGTCCAGCTTCTCTCTCTCTGTGGGTGGCAGAGACTTGGGTGGAGCCACCGTGGTGTCCACCTACATACACACCCAGGCTGCTCCTTCTCCAAGGTAGCTGGTGGGCCTGAGACCCCCGCCTGGGCGGGGAAAGCAAGGGTGGAC